TTACTGGAAATTCTGGAAAGTAACAATTGTTGTGAAAAAGTTGCTTTTAAGAGAAAATTTTTTTTATAAAGCGATAATTCTGAAACTTCCTTCTCGCTACTTTCTTTTTTTTTTTTGTCGGTAATCCTGCCTTTTACTTATAAGCGTAAATATTAGCGTTAAATAAATAACATTTTTAATAACATTTCATTTTTAATTTATTTGCTCTAATTACGGCAACTGCATTTCTGTTTTTTCACTGTTAGCTGTATAAAATCGCACGGAAACAAGGTGAAAAATATTCGGGAAGGAAGGCAAAGAGAAGAAGGCGGAAAAGACTAAGAAACTTGATCGGTAGGAAGTGACTGAAGTTCATACAGAATTGAGATCTGCAAAAAATTTTCATAATTATTATTTTAAGATTATTAATTGAAATGTAATCCGAAAGCAATAAAAAATAATGGCTGAACAGCGTAAAACCAGATCAACAACTTTTTGCTTGTTTGTTTTAGTAATTTTCATAACTGAATGACTGGCCGGCTGACTGGCTGGTTAATTGGGGTGTAAGTCAAAGAACAAAAGCTGATGAAAAAACGATGAAGATGAAAACGGAAAGAAAGAAAAGCATTTATCCTACCGATATGACAGTTTCATAAACAAATATTTTTTTTACATCTTACATAATTTCTTTTCTCTTTTCAATTAAATAAATTTTTGTAGATAAATGTTTTTCTTTCATGTCCTATTAATTATAAAAGGATTATATGGACAGCACCGGATCATCTGTAGTTAGTTATCACAGTAAGAGAAATTACCAGAATCAACTAGCATTTGTGGTTTCTACAAATGATATCACTTAAATAATTTAGACATTACTTTTATGCACTGCTATTGAGTATGTCGTTCAAAAACTGTCTGGTATAGCACAGTTTATAAGTATTTGCAATAAGAAAAATATCATAACTTTTAAACAGTTACTAAGTTCCTAAAAGTTTTTCTTTCAAAAACCAATCTTAATGCAAAATAAAAAAACTGGCCAAGAAGTGGTCAATATGGAACTGCTGAATACAGCTGCTCTTTTCTTTTTTCTTTAAGATGCTGCTGAATGTGGCTTTTTTTAATCTTTTTTTCTAATTTGTAAGATTAACTTTCTTTTCTTTGTTTTTTTTCTAAAGAACTGATAGGGAGTTATTTAATGAGTGGATCTTCAAACATTGACAATTGTTACCAAAATTTGTATATATCAGTTGATCAGTTGACAGACATTGAAATTTTTTATGCGTATTCTGTACATCATTATCGGCCACATTTTCAAAAGTACTTGGATGAAGCAATAGTAAACGAAAGCTGGGCTAAAGACTTAAAGAAGCAAATGGATCATAAAAAAAAAAAAAA